AGAAAATTGCTTAAGTATGGCCATAAAAGTCAATTTCGGCCAAATAGCAAGTTAGAAAATTTCCGTTTCCAGCAGGTTGTGATTTAACGAGTGACTTTATTTTAAAATTAATTTAAAGAGTAGTTGCCGTATAAAGTCGTGTGCGAATTTCAGCGCTGTAGCATAAATAATTGAGGAGAGCGGGCCATTTGAATTTGACTATTATTTTGTGGGCTTTTGGGATGCGAAAATACAAGGCTTTCAATTTAAGGTTCCGAGTGGCCACATTTCTTATCCGTATATGCCAAATGACATTTTCGGAATTTACATGAATTTAGAAACACATCCGTGTCTCTAGAATTGATTTTTGTTATATAGTTTGTGAGATATGTTTGTTTATTTTTTGGGTTAAAAAATGTAAAATTTTCCTATTTTTGACAAGTCATGAATTTTTCTGAAAATCACGGACCTAGCACGAAAGTTTTGGCAAATACACTGGTGAAATTAATTTTTCGATTAAAAGCTTGGGTTTTTAGAAAATCGCAAAAGTATCGCCATAAACTTCAATATCTTCCAAATAACAGTGTAGAAACTTTCTATTCCAAGCAGGTTCTGATTAAAGGAGAAACTTAATTTAAGATTCAAATTAGAGAGTAAAACCCATACAATCTAGACTAACATGATAGTGTTGTGTGTGTGTGTGTGTGTGTGTGTGTGTGTGTGTGTGTGTGTGTGTGTGCGTGCGTGTGCGTGCTTGTGTATTCCGTGGGCAGTTTGTTTACATACTGTTACGGCATTTAAGCGACGGACTAGTAGGCGATTCTTTAGCGACAACCGATTATGCTAAACCGGCTGAGGTGGCTTAATATAGCGTTTTCAGCGTGTCCGTGTGGATACTCCTGGGGTTCAAGTGGTACATTTCCGTCAGTAGTAGTATTCCTAAGTTGAACTCGGGCGCTGCCTGGAGGAAAATTCTTCCGATCGGCTCCTCTAGTCTATAGTTTTTCGTAGTTTCGTCCATGGTAACCTGGCGAATACCGAAGCAGTACTTTAACAACCCGGCCACAAACCGCGCGCGTTCTTTTTTTCTTTTCTCTCGCCTTACTTTCACCTTACACTTACACTTCCGTTCACTATAGCATCAAATTCGAGAACTCTCGGCTTCTGCCGACTAGGGCGGTGCTCCGCTGGTGGGAGTCATCTGGAGCTGTTGGTTTTGTAGACTAGGATAATAAGAAGCCGAATGCATCCTTTCTCACTTGGAATCTTACAATTGTCACTAGTTTATTGATTGACAACAATATTATTCCGAAATATTCGTTTACACATGTATTGCGGAACAACTTTCTATTTTTATAAGAATGTTAATCAAAGATCTGCCATTGATGTTACTGATGTACCTAACACTGATAACACCCATGAACAACTCTGTAAAATCATTATATCATATATTACGACAATCCTTAGTAAATTTCCAAAAAATTTTCATGACAAAATCTCAATTTCAAGAATATCACGAAGGGCACAAATAATAATCTCATTAAGAATGTGGTTATCCGGCATCCTCTATTGGTCACACCAAATGGAAATTTCTGTCAAGAATGAAAGAGCATCCAATTAATTAATTTGGATACGAGCCAGTCATCTCATACTTTTAATTTTCAAGAACCTATTATATGGACTGGTAGCATAGGACGAATTCCCTTCTTATTTCTGAATCCCTGCAAATTAAGATAATGAAACTATTAGCATGAATTTGGAGTCGAATACTTTTACCTCCGTTATGACTAGTGCTCGGATGTTTATGACCTAAAAATGTTAGAAATTTGCAAGCATTTATGTCCTAAAAATATGATAATATGCCCGTATTCAAAAATTTTGGGCTGCATTTTTGAAATCTTCAAAATCTTTCCGCTATTTATAACCATTAAATTGAAATAACCATTATATTGAAAATATACTTTTAAAATCTAGCATATTCACAATTCATAACTTTTTTGGCGCCTCGTTTCTGTTGCACAACTTTTTCTATACAATTAAATACTATACTGAGCATCCCAAAGGAAAGTAATACTAATTTTAACAATGACATTTAACGTATTATTTACCATTTATATTGTATAATTCTAAAAAGACTTGCAAACAAATATTGTACTTCAGCTTCTGGGTCTGTGTCCCCCATCTTAACTAGGTTTTCGTCCAGTTTCCCTGATCCTTGAGCAAATTCTGAGATGGCCCTTTGTTTTGCTTCTGTAAATAAACGTAACTTTAATTGAATCGTTTATTTCAGAAACCCGTCAAACGTCATATTTCTCATTTCAAGAAAACTTACAAAAAGTCTCCAAATTTTCTGATTTGAAAATATTTGTATATACTAAAGCAGTTGATAAGTGAATATTTTTCATATAAGTACGCACTTATCTCTTGGGGCAATAATCTACCGCTAATGCATGTTTTAGACTTTGGCGTTTGACGGTTTTCTTAAATAAACGATTCAATTTAAATTCTCCCCATAGCTCGTCTCACACAGTTTTTAACTATTTTTCACGGAAATTAATAAAAAAGACAATTCTATTTACTAAAGTTATTAAATATTTTTAGTAGAGGTTGACTTTGGCGCAAAACCTGACAAAGTAATACTTCCTTCACATCTGGTGCTTTCTACGCTTCCTTTTTCTCATTTTATATAGCTTACCCTCCTAATGCACATATCTATGTATTTATAAAGGGATTATAAAGACAGACAACAATAATAAAAAACAACAAAATTGTAAGAAAGTAGATAATATCTTTGAAACGGCTCTATATGCAAGTACGCAAACATGGAATCAAAAAGATTAAAATATGGAGAAAATACGAAAATGCATGGAAACGTGCGACCATAATATGAAAAGTTAACCAACGTTAATGACTGAAGGGTTTAAAAAAGCCAAAATAGAACGTAAATGCCACGTGAAAATTGTGTCTTTTTAGTCATTGTAGATGAACTCATGCTTTTCTTACATTTTCCGTAGAAATAACGTAAAGAAAAAAATAAACACCTTAGTGATGAGTCAAGATCCAAAAGATCCATAAGGTTCAAAAGAATATGACTTAAGGAAGCATTGCATTATTGGATTTTTCATTGTTATGATCTCGGAGGGAAAAAATTGATTCCTTTGCGAGGGGCCCGATAAGAGATAAGAGGCCGTCCTTAAATTACGTAACGCAACTTTTGAGTATTGTTAACCCCCCCTCTCCCTCCTGTAATGCACCTGTAACGGGCGCTTGCGCCCCCTAATAATTTCGTAACGTTTGCGACAAGCCCTCCGAACGATTCCATGAATTGATGAAAAATATTTTCATTTATTGTACCTTATAGAATACTACCTTCCTTAATTTATATTTGTAATTTAATTTGTTAGAATGTTAATGTTTTAGTATAAGACTGAATAAAAGAAATTATTTCTGCAAATGTTGAAAAACTTTAAAAATAAATATCAGCATCACGTAACACTAAACTCTGACCCCCTACCCCTTACGTAATTTCTGGGCGACTCCTAAGCACCATAAACTACTCTATTCGTAAAATAACATTATGCTTTTAAAATTCTCTTAAATAATATCGGCAAATGTGTTGTTACCCAATGTAAGTACATTAATATGACTGTCTTGCCTTATGGTTTTATAATACATATTGGCTCTTATTACATATGGTTTCTTATTATTTTATTGACTACAGAATTAAGATCAGTTTTAATGGTTAAATTAAACGATATACATGCGATCTACAATTTGACGTTGATTGTCAGAATACTTTTGTTTACATTGTTTCGGGGTATATGCTTTGTTTCTCAATTAAGGTACTGTAACAATTATATTTTCGTGTTGCTCATTATTTTCTGTAATAAATTTTATAATAGAGTTTCCAGTTTTAAATTTTAGGCTATCGACTATTGTTTGATGCATCAAAATATTAAAATAACTTAGTAAAACAAAATGTTTTACTTTTCTATTTTTGAAAATGTTTGCAGATTTCAATACATCTCCATCCTCAGGTATAATTAACGTTTTAAACTATTATAAATATTTTAACAAATTTTGGTCATAAGACCGTGTTAAATTTAAGAAAATAAAAAATGTTTAACCAAAAATGCGCCAATTCAAGAAAAGCTTACATTCTTTGTCATAAACATGGCGTCTTTCTTAATGTGATGTTAGATACTTTGATCATGTATCACTGAAACAAATACGAATGATAACATTATCACGAAGTAAAATATGTAAATTAAACAACGCTAATTTCTCTTCAATTCCCTTCCCCTGTGTCCTCGCACTTCCCCTCTCCTCTTCTCCCTTCTGATGTCATGCTTTCCGTCCCAGAAGAACGTTCTTACGTTTTCACAGAAAATCTTATAATAAGTAACATTCTATAATAATCTAGTAATTTCTGAGCCTGCCAAATCTCCGCAACCAAGCATGTCAGAACGTTTCTCAATATCATTGCTTAATATACTACTAAATATATACTAATATTGCAATTGTATTCTGTTGTGGATTTACAGACCTGATGATTAAGGATTAAGTTTCCGAATTACATCACTAGAATAACCAATATTACATAATGAACTATGCACAACTTGTGCCAAATAAGATAATATTCCTATGAATTGGTGCTTTTTAGCTCTAATGCAAAGTGTGTTCTTAAATTTTACTCGGCCTTATTACCCAAATTGTTAACATATTTATAATAGTTGAAAACATCATTTGTACTTTTTACCTTTGTATTTTTTCATCGTGTACCTAATGACGGAGGCGCACCCAGATCTCCAAAACATTGTAAACAATTGAAAAATAATATACATTTTGTTTTATTTAATGTTATAATGTATCAAACAGTAGCTGATTGTCTAAAATTCAAAAATAGAAACATTATTACAACCGTCAACTTCGTAGAATTAGCACTAAAATAAACATATATTAAAATACTGAAATATAAAATTGTTTGGAATGTTAAAAGGTTAACACATGTTAAACTTTTTATATTTCAATTGATATCCATTAAAAGTTTGAATTTATTACACATTTAAATTGTTGTTACAATAATAAATACACTCAAATTTATAAAACAATAAATATTGTAATAGTAATCACCACTTTGGGTCGCTATTGGACCCTCCACAGTGGTGTAATATAAAAAATAACTAGCACTTTCGGGCCTTCCGTAAATAGTTTCAAACGTTAAAACAGCTTCATACTGGATCCTAACTTTGACAAGCCATCTCCTCAACTATACATTAAAGCATTGCTACATACAATGTGCATTGCTGTACGTTCAACTTTGCGTTACAGTACTAGAAAATTGACCCATTAGTGCATCAATTTAATTTTATGTAAACTTCGAGTCACTTGTTTCTGACCAACCCATAGATGCTAAGAAATTGGAGTTTTCAGAAATACTACATCTCTAAAAAAAGGTACAGAAGGTTCACAAGGATCACATTTTGTTTACTCACACTTCTTAAGACACAATATGTAGGATTCATCTGCCCTCGTATGTTTCTCTGCATGTTCCTTCATTCATTTTGCCTCGTTCTACATATATTTCTGCATGTTCTTAAGATGTCCGCTCACGTGTTTTCCTACATATGTACATGTTTCCCTCTGGTACCTCATCACGTTACCCCGCATGTACTTTTCCAAATGTACCCCTACTTGCAGCTCCCTATTTTCTCCCTAGGACTATAGATAGGAGAGATAATTTTCTGGCCAGTAGTGATACACTTACCGGGTCTTGCAATGATGGTTTCTCACAGACTGTTCCAAACCGTCATCTTTCGTTAGCGAATTATATTTGGAGGAGATGGCGACGAAATTCGAAACATTTGATAAAAAATTATATCTTGATCAATAAATAAATAAATAAAACACATAAATAAACAAGAATTTTGCATTAGCAAACTATTTCCATTTAACATTCATCCTAATTTCATTTAACTGGCTACTAAAAAACCTACGAAACTACTTGTATAAAATAATAAAACACAGTATTTTAAAAGTCATGACATGTTGAAATTTTCTGTTTCTACATTGTAAATGGATTATTTTAGTAGAAACGTGCGTACTTTGAACTCATGTTTGCGGCGATTATATTTTCAATTTACGCGGGTTATTTGCTCCAGATCAATTTCTTCTGATGAAGAAGACTGAGGTAAATGTTTCAGGTACGTTCTCAAAAAGGTGATTTTCTTGACTTTTTAATCCATCACTAAAAAGAAAAATAAGTAAATACCATCTGATATTTATTGTGGACCAAGTGGCAGTAATAACAGAAGCACAATATTTCTGTAATGAAATAATGTATTATTTAATAACATTATAATATCTCTCTATAATTTGAATGTAAGAAATCAATTAAAAATTGATATAATGTATGTAAATTCAAATTTTCGATTAAATATTTCGATTAATAGAAGCAACTTATTTTTGTCAACATCATGTATCATCTCCCCATTTGTAACATTTACAGTTATTGTTCTTTTTGTTTATTTTATATGTGCTTTACTCAATACGTTCCAAAATCTTGAGTCAGGTGTTCTAAAAGTTAATATTAATGTAACCATAAATACATTTTTTATCAAAATACATTTATGTTTTTTCGATCCAGTTCTTTACACTACATCACCGCTGACAGGAAAAAAATTTTGGCCGGAGGGTTTGAGGATGTTGCAAAGCTCTTTCTGCACTGATTTTGTATACTAATAAAAATCCCCACGGTTGAAAGGTAATGTCAAACTTGGTCGGTCGGTCGGTCGGTCGGTCGGTCGGTCGGTCGGTCGGTCGGTCGGTCGGTTGGTTTTGATTCCATGTGCGCCAACACCTGATGCCATTAGTCCCGTAAGTGTAGGGAATTGTTTTCCTCAGAAGTTGGCGATCTTCACCGTTCCACCCCAGGAAGGTCTAACATCGACTAGCGGGGTTTTCTTCAACCCCGTACCTCCCACCACCGCCACAGCTGGGACAAGCTCCCGACCAGCTTTCCGTCATGTGTGGTAGTGCAGTGCATGTTAGTGAGTGTGTGTGTGTGTGTGTGTGTGTGAGTATAAGTAGTGAGGGTAGAAGAATGAAGAGGAAAGAAAGATCGCGTGTGGTCCGTGGCCCGTTCGCTAGGGAACTGCTCAGGCATTCGCTTAGTGTTGATCCGAGAAACCACGGAAAACTACCGATCAGAGCTGCCGGTCGCTATATTCCTCCTCCAGATAGCGGCTGAATACGGTGATGGTGATGGGAAGATCGTCTGAAATCTCCCTGTGATATCGTTTCTGCTCTATGGGCAAAGATGAGTAACAAATCGCGCGCAGATCTATCCTTTCTTTTGATTACGAAATTAGCATTTACATTATTTCAAATGCTCAGAGTTAGTCGTCATTTTAATAAAAAGCTAGGGCCACTTTCTCAGAAGTTTAATTTCCTGTCAAAATATGTGAAGGGAAAGCAATATAGTAAAATGTATTCATATAATATTAAATTGGAATTATAATTATATTCAAATGTCGAAACGCCTGTTCTGAACCGTCAATTAGCAAAGAAATCTACTTTCTGTTTTGACTAAGGTTTCCATTGAATAATATTCTTCCCTTTAATGAGAATGCATGACACATTTGTTTTTATTAAGGGTCAAAATTGTCTGTGACACTTCAAATACTAAAAATAATGCCACGCGTGCACACGACCGTACGCACACGGAAACACACACACACACACACACAAACAAACGTACGTACACGCATATCCACCTGCATAGGGAGCAGCACGTGTCCACCCTTCAAGCATACATGCAGCGCTGCCAGCAGACATGCACGCATCAGCAGTTCATGTGCTCACACTCGCATCCGCGAATATTTCAAAAACCCACCTGCAGCTCAGTCGAGATCTCTGAACATGGCCGCATACGGCACATTGTCGAAGATCCTTTGTATGAGCCCCCAGTGCATTGCCCCCCAGATCTCGTTTATGGTGCTACGGCCTACGTCCAGGATGGCCAGGTTATTTTGATTCAATAGGTTGTTGGTCGCATTGCCTGAAACAGGTGAGTTTGTTGAAGTTCAAGCCTGAAGTCTCTTGAAAGGTCTACAAACATTATTAAGATAGATTTATGCCCAGAAGCAAGACGGGGCCATCTCAACATTCGCTCAATAGAACAGGAAACTGGACAAAACTTGATGGAGATCGGGCATTGACCCAGAAACTGAAGTACATTACTTACCACAGGCATAATATTTTTTTTTAAATTACACAATACAAATGTAAATTAATGCATTACATATCATTATTAGAATAAATGTTAATTTTTCTTTTTGATCCTCACTATGCTTTCTAATTTTGTAGTACCAATTATAAAGAAAAAATATTTCATTCTGTACTAAAATTTATAAATCGATTATAATTCTTTAATGTCAATTAGCAACGTGTTGTAGAGTAGCGTACATACGCTGGTAGGCGTCACAGGAACTTTAGATTACACACAACAGCAGACATTACGATTACTGAGAGATGAAATCGAATATGCTACTCAGGAATGCTGTTGAGAACAATTCATGCAGTTCGTAAATATAATTTGAACTCAATGTTCTTAAAATGATATTAAAACATTTATAATTAATGAAAAATTCTTTAAAATGACTGAAAAAGGGGGGAAAATTATTAGTTGAAATCGACGAAAAATGAAAAGAAATGTCTTAAACATGGGTCATTTCTTTTTGTCAAGGCAGAAAATTATTGTATGTACTAAAAGGCATTGTTCTTAAGTGAAAATAAAAAACATTGCATTTCATTAAATTTCGCCCCTACTTATAAAGATTTTTAATAGTGTTTCCGCATCTTTAATAAAAAATATTCTGTGTAATTGACATCTTGCAACGAACATTGTACTCACTGATCTCAGTGCTATTGAAGACATTTTCCAGATGTACCTTCAGCTTGACTATGTCCGTTCTCTGTTGAAAGTCATCTATGACAAGGAACTCTTGGGCGTTCCGTTCTTCCAAATGTCCTCGCATCTTCATATCGTTCGTCATATTGACTGTAAACATACATCTTCATTATAGATTCAGTGATAAGATGGGAACTGTCAATTTCGAGATGATATACTCTGTTATGGACGCAGAAAATGATTTTGGAGGGGGGGAGGAGGGGATGGGACTTTATGTGAGAAGGTAGTAATACAAGCCGTACTAGCTACAGGAAGTTTCTCGCTAGAGTGAATGGTCATACGGTCGACAATACTCGGCTCAGCTCACAGAACATCTGTTGCAGCGAGTTCCGCTGAGAGGGTTTGACCATTCCCCCTACAGACCGAATCTCGCCCCCACCCATAAAGTTTTGCATATTTTCTTACACCTCAAGAAATTCCTGTCCGGTGAGAATTTGCACATAGTAGGGATGCAGTGCTGATAATGGCTGTCAAACACCGACACCTATCTCAGGAGGCAAACACCTAAAGTTAAGGGATACAAATTTATCCCTCGGGATGACGAACGCCTTGATGCTAGTGGTGATTATGAGGAGAGAAAGTGAAACATGTGATTCATCTGCTACAATGAAGTTTTTCCACGTAATTATGTTTTACTTTTGACGATAACCTAAATAAATTTACTTTCTGGCCGAGTCTCGTATGTACACTATTTTTGCCCTGGAATATACCTATTTCGGTGTGCACTCCCTTTTCACACCATTAAACAAAACATTACTTGATATTCATATACTCTCTATCAAGTTCACCTACTCTCCTGTAAGATGTCACATAACGTGCTTGGTCGACGGTTAGTAATGACAACTAACTCCTCCAACCGTGTCTTATCAAGATCAATTAATAGACTAAACAGCATTGCAGAAATTATCACCTTAAAACATTTTTTCTCGATTAGATGGTCAAGCAACATTGTTTCGGTAATGCTCTATTGCGAACTGAAGTGCATGTTTTTATGCGTCCTTTTAAATTACAAGGCAGGTCTCTAGTCTATGGAATGGAGACCTGCCGAGTAATTTAAGAGAATGCATGCCAGAGAAGTCACAAGCGTCCAGTTCCCGTTCTCCTCTAGTCCCATTTAGAGAGGAAAATCGAATATTCAGAGATTTCAAAGCAATTATACTTCCATTATTTTAATAGTTTTATTCGCTAACTGAGTACATAACATAATTCAAAAGTTTGGAGCCATTTTTGAGAAAATGATGATACTGAGGTCGTACATATCGTTCGCTGAATATCCGTTTTGAAGAAAATCGTCTGCCAGTTCAGGCCCTAGCGGTGACCATTGCAGACGGACAGACGTACGTTAAAAAAACAAACAATTTTTCGGTATGCGGGAACCTCAAAACTTGTATTTCCATTGAAATCTCGAAAACTATTTTATGCAGCATTACATAACTTTCTCTATACTACGTATATTACTCTCTATATACTTGTACGTACGTATACGAGTAAGTAAAAACTATCACTCTTAACAAGGAAATGACATAGTTACCAGGACAAGGCAGACGGTTAGTACCCAAATAACCAGAAACACTAAATAACCACAATGCTCTACCGAAATTGCAGGGTTGAAAAGTTGCCAAACGAGACATTGTAAAAATACAAAAAATAGAAATAGTCCAACTTTCGTGTATACAGATTTTTAACAAGAAAAATTATAACAAAACTTATACTAATTTGCTCTTTGTAACCGAAGGACTGTCATATCACGAAACTTATGACAGATATCAATAGTAGATAAAGAATTATTTTAACATTTGTGTTGAAATAATTTATATTAAGTACCTTAATCTCCGTTTCGCCAATTTTGAGAGATAATCAAAATCAATAACTGTATTTGTCGTTAAACATACTATGCACAAAACTTCACCCAAATTATTATTTAAAAAAATATTTTAAAGCGTTTTGCCCATTCATTTAAGAGATGTACTCACAAAACGTGATGTCGACATCCCCGGAGCCCTCCACCGGAATGCCAATGATGCTGCCAAACAGGTCACAGGTGCCGCGCATGTTGTATCGAGGAATTCGAATAACGATGTTGAATTCGTGCCTTTTCGGATTTATCCTGCAAAGAAAGATGCTAGATATTGATCCTAAAATGCTTTAGGAAACATTTCCTTTAGATTTCTTCAGTTGTGTAATATTAAATCTAAAAGCAATTATCGCTATTCTCCTCAATTTACTTTCCCCTGACGAAATCACAACCGTAGATTCGTGGTCTAGATCTCCGATATCCGGATCTAGAAACATTAAATTAATTTAAACGTTCTCTATTTAAAACTGATGTCACAACGACAATTAATTTTACATATTATTAATTTAATAATTGTGATAATCATTTAACCATTAAGAATTGATTACTGGTCTCTTGCAGCAAAAACTGTTTTGCTGTGGTTAGGCATTTTTATGTTAAATGAAAAAGCCATACTGTACAAAAACTGCCATACCGTTTTTATAATTTAAAAAAAATTAAATTCTGGGAATAGATATATAACTACGAAGGACGTTGCACATCAAATTGGTGCTTTGCTCGCGGCTTTTGTTTTATGTGGTTTAAAGACGGTGTCAAGTACATCACCTTTTTGTTAATAAACATTCATTTAAATTCAATTATCAGTTTGAAATTTTTGTCGGACATATTTGACGGAAAGTAGCGTGTGCGACCAAAGTTAACATTGAGTTATTTTGTGCTATTAGTAGTTGTATAAGAGGCAAATTTTTGTTCTTACATGCTTATATTAGACTTTTCAACCAACGAAATTGACAAAATTTCTTATTTTGTCTTCAATCTTGATTAAATAATGAACTAAATGATTTAATGTACAGCCCTGAAGTTACTAGGGTTCTCTAAGATCGTTGACTCATTCTGGGTGACACACAAAATTGTGGGTTAGCTTCTTGGTCAATGACCTCCCCTCTCTTGATCGTGATTTTCGTCCACTTTACCTTGGCCCATTTAGTAAGAGCCGAGAGAGCTCTTGTTTTTCTTCTGAACACAAATGTAGCTTCACTCTCTGGGCAAGTTTTTCTTGCTCTTTCTTTCTTTCTTTCTTTCTTTCTTTACTTTCTCACTCTAAAGAGTGTTAGTATGTAACAGTAGTTTAGTAGTCATCAGAAGCATTAACTGAGAATCGTTCTCTGTGTTCTCGCGGTAGTGAGATGATTCCTTCAGTTTGGAAACGACAAGCGACAAGAATCAAAATCTGTATCTCATTTGCAGATGGAAATAGTTATATAAAGCGGGAGAAAATATTCCTTACACATTTTTTCTTAGTTCTATCTAATATAGCACAATGGGGTGCCGGTGGCTCGTTGGTTAGCTCGCATTCCACGGCGCAATTCCGGGCTCGAATGCCAGTCGTGTCAAAAATTAATTGTGCGATTTCCTTGCAATGTCCTTGTATCTGTTGCTGTGTGCCAACGAGAAAGCTCATTTCTCCGGTTGAGAAGACCAGAATATAGCGTAGGGATGACTGTATGCTAACCACACGTACCCCTTAAACCACGGCCGCAAGGCCAGGACGCTGCTTGTAGGCTTTAGATCGTAAAGAGCTGTTGTGCCAAAATATATTATATACGTACATACATACATACATATATACATACATATATACATACATATATACATACATATATACATACATATATACATACATACATATATACATACATATATACATACATACACACAGTAAAGGGCGCGGTTAGAGTTTCAAAAGCTCAATAACAACACGTACATATATTTACTTCTTTCCGTAAGTCACACGCACAATTGTTTATTTTTTGATTGTTAATTAATAAAAGAATTGAACTGAAATATAATACAGACGGTAAATGTAGATAATCTACATCATGTGCTGAGAAGATAAGTTAAACGTTTCTGAAACTCTTATTTGGTAAGTAGAATTTACTTAGTGCTCAATTGTTTTACTTAAATGTTTACAGTAAATGTCAATACGCTTTGATAGAATAGAATAAAATGTTTTCTCTTACACCGAACGTATTACAACAGCGTCTCTCCAACCTTCGCGAAGAGTGTTGTTTAAATTGAAAGCCAAGGTTGGTATAAGTGTATTATTCTTCCCGAGTGAAATATTTGGAATGCAAAGTGGGTCCATAGGTACAGCATTCAGCTTCCGTATACCTGTAAAAAAGTGACAGAATTAACAAAGGACAATCTGTATTTTCATCTAAATGTTTAGTGTTTTCATGTTGCGGTATTAATAAATTACTTGTGCTCTGCTGCAGCAAATGCTACGAAACAAAACGTTTTCCGAAACTTAGGAAGCATACCGATCAAGACCAACAAATAAAATTCGTATAACACTGCAATAAAATAAATATTATAAACTAGTGGTGCTAAAACAGCACATACTTTCTCGCCCTTTACGAACGGTTATGTAATATTATACCTCATTTCTGTCTATGTCAACGCATCTCAGTCGAGCGCTGACAACAAAGCGCACATGCAGCGATGGACGCTGCCAACAATGGGCACATATTTCGTAATCAATTCTTCCTAAAAACGCCATTTTTACCACAATTGGAAGATGGTGTGAAACCTGTATATATTTCATTAATTTCAAGCAGTATAACACAAAACTACAAGTTATTTTTTAATTGTAGATGAGCTTCTTTGAAGAGCTTATTTTGTACAACAGACTTTGAGACAAAAATCTCTATTTCCGATTTTGAAGTTTTAAATTGTTGTTTCGTTTGTTGTTTGTTTGTTGTTTGTTTAGACCTGCACCATTCTCTTAAACATTTTTTGCAGTATTCTCTCTATACACTTTTGTCAATTAAAAAATAAAATTTAATAAAAAGTTTTAGAGCAATATTTTTGAAAATTTTGAAAATAACTCAGAGACATTATGTAAGTACACCCTCAAATTAAAATATCGGTTTCAAATTCCAGAGTCCGCGACACTAACTAGAACAATTAGGGAATATCAATTTTGGAGAAAATCGGCTGAACGGTTTATGAGTTAGCATTGTGCACAGACAGTGGGACAGACTGACATTTTGCCGTCAATCGATTTTTAGCTATGATGGACCTCAAAACATAGATTATGGCTACACTACGTGTAAGAGATTTTTTCCCTATATTTAGTAACTGCATATATAATGCATTACTTAACATTTGTTCAGTATAATTTTAAGAAGACTAATTGTTCCTGTAACAAATAATTTACTTCAGTTTCCAGGTGAATGACTCCTATCTCGATTAGTTTTCAGTCTAGTTTCCCTGATTCATTGAGAAATTGTGAAGATGACCCTTATTTCGCTTCTGGACATAAATGTAGATTCACTGTGCCCAAGGTTAGCTAGTTGTGATAGGAAGAGAGGCGGGACAGTGGGTGGCTACTTATTGGCAACACTAAATAATAAAGTATATTTTTAGTTTACCGCGGCAAATAGGTTTTCTGCTACTTGGGAGCGAAAATATCTAGTTTACGAATGTTGCTAACCTTTCTTTGTTGGTACATCAATAAACTATTTATGGTTGGTAATTTGATTATGGTGGGGAAGAGATTGTAAAGCTCAAGAAAACATGCATAAATTGTTCTTCTATCCGATACGTCACATACAGTGTTGCCTTTTGACCGACGAAAATAAATCAAACCAAGACATTTGGGTGTCATCCATATAGATATTTGTGCATCGCCTTAGGAGGTAATTGCAAAGTGGATCTGAAAGGTAAAGGCAAAGGTAAAGGTAATGCGTACGGGTGAATAATTTTAATAATTCCACCGGTTTAGATGTGTCAGGGCATCAACTGATGCCACTGCAGTGCCTTCTACAGGAAGGCCCTAAGGTTCGAACCCCTGCGCTGAAGGATTTTCTACAAACCACCAAAATAACTGTCGATTACAATCACTGCTTGGAGACGAATTGTAGTAGCCGTCTGCTCTGATCGGTAGTTTTACATGGTTTCTCTGTACGCCAGGCGAAGGCCAAAGCAGTACTCTAACAAACGAGCTACGGACCGCAGGCGATCATTCCTTCCTCTTCCTTGTCTTATCCTCACCCCTTCCTTACACAATCACAATCACAATCGCACGCACACACACACACACACACACACACACTGACATGCACTACATACCCGAAGACAAGTCGGGAGCTTAGAGGTTGTCCCGGCTGAGGTGGTCCTCAGCTAGTAGGAGAAACCTGGTTGAGAAAAACCGCGGTGTGGGTAGGCGCCGGATTTTGCCATTTACTAAAGAGAGATCTCCGCATTACCCGCCATAAAACATGCACTATACTTACGAGCAGTTGACACGCCCGGAATTACTTGTCAATCAATAATGTATTGATGAATACGGCGCACTGAGTGTAAATGAAGCGGTAAATATACACATTCAAATGAAAAGAAAGGTAAATAAAAAGAAAAAAAGAAAAAGAAAAAGAAAAAAGTTACAAAACGTACCTTTAACGAGATGTTTCAACATTTGGTTAGCAGAGTCGGTGAAACACTTATTCAAATTAAGATCTTTCGCACTGCATATTTTTACATCTTTATCTGAAACAATGAAAACACTCTCTTACTGTAATATTTAATTTCTGAAAAAACAAAGACTCGGGCCGAATTTTTAACGTAGTTTTGCCATCTTAAAATGTAAACTAAATGTAATAGTTCTTTATTTAACATTCCGCAATCTATTGAAAATTTTGCAGAACAGAAAGAAAACATAATCAAATTACAAAATGAAAATTTGAGAATACTGTAATCATTCCATTTTATAAAAGCTACAAAATAAGGGTTTTTATACAACTCTATACTTACGGAAATATGTCGGCTCTGAAGTATGAGCCTTTATTGCACTTAGACTAAACAAAGGAAGCAGCAGCCATCGGCAAGCCCTTGTCGGATTCATAAGAGACATGTTGATTGGATAATGCTGCCACCACAATGCTGCCAAACGCGGCGTTAGAGACCTCTTATATCCTCTCGCACACGTGCGGTAGTATAAGAAGTGCAAAGAAAGTGGGCCAGTCACGTGGCACGAATGGAAGGAAGGCAGGGAGAGGGCCAACTCACCAGACGAAAATATTACGAGTGATTTGGAGATTAAAGATCTGAGCATTTTCAGAGATAGTAATTTTGGCATCCCTCGACTAAAGACTATTCTTTACTGGCGCAAGCAACTTCAAATTCCCTCGGAGCGCGGTAAAACCAGTGTTTCTCGATAATGATTAAGATAATAATTATGCATTCAATGCGTTGTTTTAAATAATTTGTTTAGATTTTGCATATTCATAGTTATGAATTCCAAAATTTCCATCAAACGATTTTTACTTTGTCGCTACGGAGTAAAGAGAAAATTATGTAATATAACGCGAAAAAACGGCGAATTTCGGCCAGAAAATTCTTATTACTGGCCCAGGTAACGATGAAGAGGATAAATCCAGTTGCTAAATTTAGAAAAATATCCTCTAACATGTGGTGAAGCCAGGTCCAAGTTTTGTAAGTCCTTGATACCAAAAAATCGCATGACGGCAAAATGTCTGCCTGTGCGTCCGTCTATAAATAACGGTTCAGACGATTTTCTCCCAGATTGACAATACGCAATTGATCTAGCTGCTCTGTTGCAGCCTCTTGAACTAAAAAAAATAGAATCACACATTTAATACAGTTTCTGAAACAATTTTGATGTCTATTCCCATACACCAATATAGTCACACTTTTCAAGGAGAGCATTCACGAAAAAATACGCCGCGATTACTGACGTCTGAACATGGAATACCCATCTGCAGAAAATTACAACTCGTAAATACGAAATGCACCAATCATTCCAAGTAACAGTGGTGTATTAAAGCTTCGCCTGTGTGAATGGTTTGCTTTCTTGACGAATCAGCATCAGCATCCAATGAAACTCAGTTAAAGAGTTTTTAATTCTCTCTTTTGAGGCTATTCGGGTTGGTGCCGTTAGAATCGTCCATCACTCCCGACCCGGTTCCTGCCTCAGCGGCAGAGTCGTGTTCGTCCCTTTTCTTTGCCGCTGGGGACACCTCCTCGCGACACCATTCAGCTTCTCACCCACCAAATTACAGTCCGCTCGTGGTGCTCCCAATTGGTCCCGTTTCAGAGGAGGGGGAGTTTGGTTATTTCGTAGCTCGTTTGAAGCAACAAATTATTTACGGGAGCTAAAATCTATTGATAACATCAAAAATGTTAATGTTATTAGGAAGAAATACTGTAATTGTGCCCCGGAAAACTGTGTTTTTTTTTTCTGCGGAAACACTCCTTTTGTCCGTCCCTTGTAACGAAATAGGGGATATATCTTGTTCCTATATATAGTAGTTCTCTTCCTCTAACAAGTTTTGTTGTCAGACTTTATGTTTTGCCTTTGATTCAGAAAAATCGATTGGCGGCACAATGTCTGTCCGTCTGTAGCCCATGCTAGCATATAAACCGTTTGGCCAATTTCTGCAAAATTTACATACCTCGACCCTTTGGAGGAACTCGAGAACATCCTGACTTTTGAAAGTCGATCGTCGAGACATAAAGATCTAAGATAATCAAAAAACAAAAGATGACCAAAAGCGAAGATGACCAAATGAACAAAAGAACGACAGGACGAAATGGAGGCAAAGGAGATAAAGGTAAATGTCGAAAAGACGAAATGGGCGGAAAAGACGAAATGAACGGAAAGGAAGACCAGGCGTAGAGGCCAAAAAGGACGACAGGACGAAATAGACAAAATGGATGAAAATAACGAATTGACGGAAAAGACGAAACAAATTGGGCAAAAGGACGAATTTTCAAATGTTTTAAAATATAAACTATAGTGATTTAAATAAATTAAACAACTTAATAATGTACGAAAAGCATTTATTAAGTACGCAGTGAAAGAGGAACGGAGAGCCCATAACACTTTTCCTTGATTTATTTTTTAATTCGCTAATATCCTGCTACACTTATGTGGTAACTTCTTAATAGGTAACAACAATCTAAAACGGAATCTCTTCCTTTGAGTCCATCAAAAAACCTAATTATACGGGTGACCCGTATGAATGCGGATGGGTTTGGCCCGTTAAAATACCCGCATATACAGGACCTGGGTACTCGCATGACATAAGATCCGTATAACTTCAAGAACTCTACAGTGTAGCGCACGTAATTGTGTCTGTAAGTAAAGAGTGAGGATAGAACAAGGAAAAGGAAGGAAAGATCGCGCGCGGTCCATGACCAATTTATTATGAGCTGTGGCATTCTGAACTTGAGCTAGCTGTGTGGTTAGTCTCGAAAATCCTGCCACCATCACATGAACGTCATGCATCATGACCGAAATCATTTCCGAAAGAATAAGGATTGTCATGATCATGAGTTATCACAACACAGAATGCGTGATGTAACTTAGGAAAGATGATCATTGAACTTTACGATAGAGAAGGAAGAAGGTTGTACAATTTTTAGAAAAAGATGTAAAGAAAGTGCGTTCAAGTTTTTAATTAAAATTGTTTAATCATCCAATACCATAGGATTCCACAAGAGCACTTTGGTTAGAATTCTTTACCGGTACAGTTCAATGTTAAATGAGCTTCTCAGGTTTGAGCGTACGAAAATACGCCACACCTGAATATTAGAATTGATTGGACCGAGGCTAAGGAATAAGGGCACCACCCACTGGCACACAGTTTTCCTGTAAGCAAGGTACATGACGTTGGCGTGACGTGAGACAACACCGCTTAAAACGAAGTGAACGCCCTTAATATATTCGTAAAGTAATTCCATTAAAACAGGCTCATACTTTTTGGCAAATGAAGTTGCTCAGTTGCAAAAACAGGGGAGGAGGAAACTGATCATCTAGGACCAGCGCTGCTCACGCAAAATCAAGGAGGAGAAGACAGTGCTTTAGTAACTATCTGAGATAATTTCCCCAAGAACCAGAGTTAATGGTTAAGGCTATTCTGCGGGTTAAAATTTAAAAATATTATTTTATTCAGTTTTTCTGCAACAAACTTCAAAACTCTTCCTCAAAATGTGCGTAACTCTAAAACAAGATTTATATTAATAACATCAATAAACAGGGAAAGTTTAGAATCTTCGATAAAACGTGAGAAATTTAAAGCGTTATGCGATGTGGGTCGGCGAGTAGTTTGTGACATTAAATCCATATCCCAATAAATCCTTTATACATTTATCAGAAGATAGAAAAAGTCAAACAAATCTACGTACCCGTTGGCTAAAAAAACTGATCTTAGATAAAAATTCCTTTTCGTAAAAAAATGAAACAAAGGAAATTTCTTATCTTCTTAAAATTAATTTGCACTTGAAAGAATGGAGAACAATTTAGCTACATCGTTACATTACTACTTTATCTTTTCAGCTGTGAAATAAATGCTGGAACGTCAAATAGTGGAAGAAGTGACACAGGGCATCAACTTACGTCACTGCAGTGCCTCTGACCGGGAAATCCAGGGGTTAGAGTCCCGACGCTGGCAGATTTTTCTCCACTAGCCAGATACCTGGGCCGGGTTCTGATCGCCGGCTGCTTTGATCGGTAGTTTTCCATGCTTGTTCCGATCAACACCAAGCGAAAGCCGGAGAAGTACCCTACCCAACGGGCCACCCTTCCTTGTCTTATCCTTACCCTTACTTACAGTTACACTCTCACGCACAACACTATCACACATGCCGGGAGACTGGTCGGGAACTTAGAGCTTGTGCCGGCTGGGGCGGTGACCCGCTGGTGGGAGATACCTGATTAGGGAAGTGCCCGCTAGGCGACGTTAGGTGGGCGACGGATCTCGCCATATAGCGTGGCAATGTCACAGCCACTTCCCGAGCAAAAACATGTGCACTACACTTACCGGACTAATGACCCTGTTCGTTGACGCGCCCGGAATCACTACTAATTAATCAATCAAATAGTGACACCGCGAAAGAATATTTCTAAGCGTAAGAGATGTTTTAAAGAGAAATATTGAATTAAAATATTTATGTTTGCTCATAGTACCGGATACATGTGCACTTTTATCCATCATTTATTTTGTAAAATGGAGCGGTTTGAGATAGAGAAAGTTAAATATTAGTGAAGACATTGTAACACGTATCAAGTTATTTTTGTGTATATTTTAATGCATAATATCGAAAATTACGTTAAGGTGCCTGGAAGAGAAGAATTGCAAAAATGTATGTGAACTAATATTTGTGGTGAGTGAACGGAAATTGATGTAAGGGTATGGGTATGGGTAATAAACGAAGCTCATAAAAGATTAAATAAAAATTTGAGGTGGAATCAACTGACAGCATAGGTCAGAGTTTCAGGATGCTTCCAACCATTTACCTCCAGATGACGTGGTGAAACTTAACTTTGAATTAACCATCAAACTATTGAATATCCATAATACTGAACAAAATACAACAGTTATTCACATTGATTCCTTTGGATATATTTTAAAACATATTACCTTAAAATAAGGTGTAATACACTCCAAAAAATTATAAACAAATTTAAATAATGTTTATATTATGTGAAACTAATGTTCACAGATCTCGTAGAAAATGATTTGCTATAACAACAAAACAAATCAAATATATACTCCAATGTATCACAATCAGTAATCCTTTCTTATTTCAAACATTAAATCAACAAGTCAATGTTTTGTCTCTCATAGATGTTTTTGTTATTAACTTTTTTAACATTGACTATGTTGGTACAAAATGTTCACAATCACCAAGTGTCCCGACGCTGTCGACATACGAAAGGGGGGTCGGGCATACTATTAACAAGACTGACTCCAAGTTAGATGTGGGTGTATTTATAGTCACTTACATACAAGAGAATAGACTTGCATGAATGTTGAAAGGCCACAGACAAATCGGCGAGGAGATGGCGGTGTCTGTGGCAGTTGGCATGGCTCGGCGGCGGCGACCCACGATCCACGCGTCAACTTGGCGTT